AGACCTGCACATCTGAACCCAGTGAGCACAGACCTGGTTCACCATCACTTTAATATGTGCCTCAAATTCTGTGTATGTGGAACGCTCCTTTGTTGCCTTCGGTAAGCCATTCCAACATTTAGCTCCTGTATTGACTAAATGTTGTGCACCTACAGACTGCCCCACACTCCCCTCTAGCGGTGGCCCTTGTGCAACTTCACAATCTGACTTTTGATTAATAAATTCCTATAAAGGATGTGGAGCAAGTCTATGTAGATCCTTATAAATAAAACAGGCATACTTATTTTTTTTTAAATTATGAAAACTCAGAAACATGTTTTTCCAGAATTTTTCAGGGATAAAATAGCGATGAGTTTTTATCAAAAAGTTTAAGTTTTTTTTGTAATTTCAACTATTTATAACCACATAGTGAAACAATACTCAATATATGATAAAAGTCTTGAACTGTAGACACATCCTCTCTGCATTGATGGTCTGGAACAGTCTGATTTGCTTGAAACTCTGAAGGTTAAATTTTACAAGCCGGATAACTTTTTAGAATCATGTTTAGATGTTAAAGTCGGGTCCAAAGCGAGCACAGCATATTTATACTAATTTACAGCATCAAGCTCATCCCCTTGAATCCTTGACTCCTCTCCTTGCCTCCTCTGATTTTGTATTAGTCCCTCCCACCAGAGATGAGGAGGAGGAGGCGAGGGGAAACATCCATCCAAAGGTGTCCTTTCTTAAACCGATGTCAGTAAAATTTGACATTTGATACACTGCATCATAGTTTTGTTAACGGGTTTACGATCTCAGGTGTGACACTGCAATGTGTCATATTTAGGAACCCTTTTAATTTAAGGATATCACACATTTTCTTGAATTACACACACAGAAATTGTGGAGGGTAGAAAATGTAATAATCTTAACTGAAACATCATCATAACAGATAAAAAGCACTCCCTGTGTGCAGGGCCTCTTTTATAAAAAAAAGAAGAAGACATTATCAGGAAAGACTCACCTGTGCACCTCTGATTATCACTCCTCCTGCAGCTTCACGATACATGTTAGGATTTGAGACAGCCTTCAGTATGGCTCAGTGAAACACAATGTGTTTAAAGAGGTAAATGCTGAAATTTAAATCACTCTTTTCTTTTGCATTTGCACTTTTATTTATCTTTTTTTACATGAACTTCTGTATTGTGCGTTTGTACATGTACCATATGTGTTATATAAGAAGCAAAACTCAATAAATAACTGGTTAAAAATACATATACGACATGTTTGGAGACTGTAAACCAGCTGATCACATTCTAGTGCCGAGCTCTGTGCTGCTGTAGCTCTGCTCTGGCCCTGAAGTGCTCCTCTTCCTCCTGTCCTCAGTCGGCTGCAGCTCTTGAGCATCCACAGGGTTTTCAGAGCAGCCTTCCTCGCAGGTAGCAGCAGGTGAAGACGAGGGGCTGGAGTCTGTGGCAGCGGTGGGAGTCGGAACAGCGTTGAAGGCGACAAAGCCAATGAGGATGACCACCAGCGAAACAATGTAGAGGCCGGAGAACTGAGCAGGAGCAGAAAGTGAATGTTCAAATTGCATTAAAAAAAAGAGTGCAGAAGGAAAACCAGTTCATTGGGTTCAAGTTATGAATGACATTTTACCTGAGCTGGGGTTTGGCCCAACTGCACACAGTATTCTTTCCAATGACCAGCAGGGGGCGAGTCTGGATCCGAAACAACTTTTTATTTGACTTGGATTTCTGATCCTGAATGTGCAATATGATGTCCGTGTAAAGTCTGACATCTGTGTTCACATTTATGAGTTTCTCTGTTTAACGTTTAATTGCAGGATTTAACTTCATGGTAAATAATAAGAACAGGTCTTTTTGGTAAATGAGACTTTAAGTCTCACCTGTATAAATAAAGGTGAAATTAAAGAAAAAACAATATGGGAGTTTAGATGTTGACACAAAGAATGTAATTATGCTTATTAATGAGAAAATGTGAGTGTTTTATTAGGAGAATACTGTGCCACCTCTCATCTGGAACTGACTCATTTAAATTCACTGGCAGGTCAAAAGAGACAGATTCATATTCAACACATGCACAAACTGCATACATGCATGGAGCTCTGCATGAGAACACACAGCACAGAGTTACATTTTAACTTTTATCATTATTATTCATTAACTCTTCTGAGCGTGCATAACACTCAGCAGGTCATTATGACCCAAAGACGGGGTGGGAAGAGACACTATCAGTGTTTATATATGTGTGTGCTGGAAATAAGTCCTGTCATTAACTGACATTAAAGATTCTCATCTGACCCTGACTAGAAAACACATTAAAGCTCTGTTAAAAGACAAATAAATCATTTTTGTATCTATTCAAAGTTTCACACTCTAAAGATTAAAAATCTAATGTGTGTTCAGTATTCCTATTGCCTGTGTGTTATTAGCAATTTTGAGGACGTGCACATCCCCAGGTGTGTAACTTCACACCACTGTCAATGCAGCCTGCACAGGTATGAATGCTGGAAATGGCACTGACCACTTGCGTGTACAGTGCTCTAGACTCCTAATTGGATTCACTGCAGAAGCACAATTCAAGCATCATCTCAAAAGAGAACGTGGCAAACTAGCAACAAAGTAACAACTTGATGTTTCAGTGAGCCTTAAATGGCTGTGAGAGGAACTACAGTCGTTTCACTTTGTTTTGGCTTTATTTTTTAGCCCCTGTTGGTTGCGTACCATTTCAGTGAAACATGTTGTTCAATCCAGAAACTACAGAAAATCTTGTGTTTTCTCATTTGAATGTTCTAAGCCTCTGTTCATACACCTACATACCTTACCCAGAGTTGACTGATTACCGTTCATTGTGTTTTCTCAGTGTCTGTGCTGCTGACAAAGAAAGTATCCACGTCATGTGCAGTTAAGTCTTGTCAGAGCCTGTCTTCCATGGTAGGAAAAATGCATAACTTAGGGTAAAGGTAAAGATCATAATCAGTCCTCCTGTTGCATGATGCTGGTGCTGGATGTTCAGAGGGAAGACTTGAAGACTGATTAAACTGATAAAACTTCAGCTCCTGCTGATGGTGGGCTTTTTCCAATAACATAAATTGTGAAATTGTTCCCTCTAATGAGAAGGAATCACATACTGGAATACACTGGATAGATCCTGTAGTCATGACCTTGTAGGATCAACACATTGACAGACGATGTGATGCTTTTTACTAAGATTAAAATTGTTTTTTACAGTCCAACAGTGGGGAGGGTGTTAAAGTGCAGGTCAAGTTTCCTCTTGAGGCGGTTTGAAGGAAAGGACTGTCAGATATATAAAGTAAGAATAACCGAGTCTGCACTCACGTTGTAGTGGAAGAGGAAGATCCCACAGAAGAGGCCGAAGAGGTCAGCGGTGAGCAGGGAGAGGTTGACGGAGGTGGCGCTGCTTAGCTTTATCACTATAGGCATGAAGCTGTACAGAGCATACATACACAGTGCATAGGCAGCGAACAGCAGTCCTGAGAAGAGACATGACCACTGTTAGTTCATTTAAGTATTAAAGAAAACGCAAACATGAAAGAAAAAATCTCTTTATTTCTCAGGTCGACTTCTCCAACATGGTGATCAAAAGTGTCTAATAAAACCTCAAAATTAGTCATCTTTATACACTCAAAGATAAGTTACTGAAATAAGGAATATGAGTGGTGATGCTGTGGCTTTGTGATTTTTAGAAAATGTTTTTTCAAACTTTCACTGAGAAAATGTGACAAACGAGACGAGAACTGTGTTTCTGTGAATTTGGGTTAGATTATTTCTGCCCCTTTGTCATGGTCCCTGCTGTAAACATAAGATTTTAGTTGCCTGTAATTTCATTTTCTTCTCATTTCTTCTCTTTTTTTGTTAATTTTTGCCCTCCTTGAAGAATTATTGACCTTGTGTCTCCTTTCTTGTGCTTTTATGTTTTGAATTATTTTTTTAAGTTAGTTTTGTCGCATTAGTTGGTTGTGACACATTGGTTTTCCTACCAGCTTTGTTCTTTTCTTCTGGCTTTTATTAATAAAGTTTGTTATTTTTTTCACTGTGAAAATCTCAGTGTGCATAACCTTATGTTCTCATAGTTTAAAGCATTAGTTATTCTGACACATATTGTGTTTATTCAGGTCCCAAAGAGTATACACTTAGGAGTATTTGTGTTGACTGTACCATAGCGCCTTTAAATATTTATAGTTTCATAATGTGTTAACATGCGTAACCATCTGGAGGCTTCGGCAGTCCTGTTTTGTCTTCAAAATGTTCCTGAGTCAGATCAGTACTCACCAACTTCCCAGCTCCACTGGATGGCAGGAATTTCATTATGCTCCAGGATCACCCTGAGTAAAAATAAAAACAGAAACATCAGATAAACCACAAAGTCCACTGAGTCCTAAAACTGATGCCAGTCGCACACACTTACATCTGTATGGTGCTGATGATTGTGCCAAAAAGGCCGACCATGCCCAGGAACTCCACCCTGCTCAGGTTCTTCACGGTGTACTCCTGACACACGTTAGACACCGCATACAGCGAAGCACTGAGGAGCACCAGACCATCACCCAACAAGATGTTTGAAGCTGAGGAGAGAACAACAAGATCATCGCTAAGGTTCAACATCATCAGACGAACGCTAATGTTGCCACAGTGTTGGTTTCCCTGTATGTCATGCACAGGCTGGAAAACGCTTTTATCCCAGATTAGAGACCAAAAAGTCAGCAAAAGTTTGGAAAAGTGGTAGCAATGGGATGTATTGTTGGTTTTATAACCATAGAGAAAGTTTTTTTTATTTCTTATATGTTTTGCATTGATTTTTTCCATCGCTAAGTGTAAAACATGTATTTGGTTTATACTTTTTTG